TTTTAATATATATATTATTAATAAATTTTATTAAAATTAATTACATGTAATAAAATATTATTATAATCTCTACATTAAGTAGCAATATTAAACTTATATTTTAGCAAATAAAAATTATACTTGCTAATCTTATTATTATTATAATTGAAATCTAAAAATTAAACAAACTTTTAATGTTTAACTAATTCTAGAAAAATATTTACAGAAAAAGTTAAATTATAATTGAAATAATCAGGAAAAGAACTTCAAATTTAATTTATTGTACAAATGTTATGTTGCTCCAGGTTTCATTTCCCTTTTGTATAAAAATTTCCTAGGACAAAATCTAAATCTACTAGATGCGTATATTTTATTATTTTTTAGTTAATAGTTATACAAAAGTAAAGGACTTAATTTTGAAGATAGAGATGAGTTTTTTAAGAAATTGTAAATGCCAATAGCAAGTAAAATTTTCATTAAGACTGACCCCATTTAAGATGACATGTGATTCCTCAAATTTTTACCAAAGTTTAACATCATTAATGCCCCTTGTACACAAGCTACCATGCCAATTTCACTTCTTAATCATCACTCTATCCTGAAAATTAAATAAAACAGGCATAATTCTAATACTTTCTCTTGTTACGTATATATATTAGCTGAGAAAGTACATGAATAAAGATATATATACAGTATTAATATATAATACTGTATATATTATAATATTAATATACAATATATAAGATATATATTGTATATTAATCACTCCATGTCTGGCTGCCTGGTGAATGATGTAACAGCTGAATAGAATAAAATTTGTAAGTCAGTATGTTGCAGAGCTAGATGTCTCGGAAATAGGATTTTTGTTTCATTTTCTTATTTTTACATATTATTACTAAAATAGTTGATAGTGTTTGTTTCTTTATTACATTTTTATTTAGTATAACTCTACTGAATTAAATTGCATGCTATTAAGTTAAAATATACAATTCAGAAAATATATTGAATATTTATTTTTTAAGGTGAGCCCTGAATTGTATTCCAGAAAAAGTTATTGGCATGCCTGTCAAGGGTTGTCCATTCCTGCTATAGAATAATAATTTGAATTTTTAAGCAAGCTAATCAATTTAATATTAGAAAAATTATCATCATTAACTTGAATGATATTTTTGTATTATATATTTTAACATATAGTTATCTATATTCATGGATACATCCATAACTATGTATTATCTTATATTTCAGGTATTTGCTGGTCAAAAAAAATTTTTTCTTGGATATGTCCAATTTGTAGATATGGAAAAAGAAAATATCAACAAATTATTATATATTCTTATACCTGTGATAGTTGTTTTAATAATAGTAACAGGTTTAATAGTTAAACTTATTCATAGAAAATTATCTCAGAAGGCTCTGCATTCAGATTTAATAGTATCATATACAAGTGAATCAGATTCTCGACAAGGTAGTTGCAGAAGACGACAAGAAGCAAATGGTAGGTTCAAAGCAGTTTTTTTTTGTGTATGTATTATTTCTGTGTATGAAGTTACTGAAGGAAATACCTTTCAGAGAAATTAATGAAAATTTTTTCCTGAGTAATTTAATTTTTCCTAGGATTTTGAGATTAATTATTTATCAATGAATAAATATTATTCAATATAACTATATTTTACATCTATCTTTTGAAGATCCTATTTGATCATATCTAAATTTTAAACTCATAAAAAAACAAACTCATAGAAAATATTCTTGGTGAATTAACCATATTATCAGAAATATTGGTCAAAATATACACACAAACCTATGCACATATGAACGTTATTGTATACAAACACATTATATACAGACTATGATTTATATATTTAATATATATAATCAAATGTTCGGTAATCTGAATCAGTAAACTTTGCATTTTTAAATTATTTTGTAACATTTCATTTTAATTAATAAAGTTATATAACAAGAATATACTGTATGTCATTGTTAGTAATCAAATATAGTTATGCTTTTAATCTGTTGTGAATGTGGTTTTGTCATTAAAACAATGAAAGAAATATGTAATTGAATAACAAATCAGTTATCATATAATTTTAAAAAATTATTTTTATATAAGAAACTAAAATAAATGTTTAAAAACAAGCATTTTCCGTAATAAATATTTATATTTATACTTTTCAATACTAGAAGTTTCTGTAATATTGCTATTATATTTAATGTAAATATTATATTGTTATACATAAATGAGAATGCAGTCACATTAATAATGAACAAGATTAAATAAAATATATTGATGAAATAGATTTGTAACAGCATTTATTATCGAAAAGATATAATTTTCAAAAACATTTTATTACAATTTTAATTTTAATCAAGATTGAAAATTTATTTTAAAAAATATTTTTGTATTTGTAATGAGTATCAGTATATATATTTGAACATTTATGATGATTATTTTTCATATCATTTTTTAAAAAGTTTCAGATTGTTATACAGCATCACAAAATTAATACAAAATTTATTTCAACATTTTATAGAATATTAAAATTAAAGACTTTAATGTGAAATATTGAATTACAATTATTTCAAAGACCTGGACATTAAATAATAATTATTAATAAATTGTTATTTAAAGTTCCAGCTTATTATTAATTGTAGTATGCATAATGTGAATTAACAAATGCAAATATTGTGTAATCAAAAATAATGTTTTTCGATTTTTTAAAGTTTAACCAATATAATAATTGCAAGACTAAATTTTTAACATATATTATTTGATAGACATTACTAATTATAAGTGTGTGTCTGCCATTTATAATTGAAATCTAAAAATTAAACAAACTTTTAATGTTTAACTAATTCTAGAAAAATATTTACAGAAAAAGTTAAATTATAATTGAAATAATCAGGAAAAGAACTTCAAATTTAATTTATTGTACAAATGTTATGTTGCTCCAGGTTTCATTTCCCTTTTGTATAAAAATTTCCTAGGACAAAATCTAAATCTACTAGATGCGTATATTTTATTATTTTTTAGTTAATAGTTATACAAAAGTAAAGGACTTAATTTTGAAGATAGAGATGAGTTTTTTAAGAAATTGTAAATGCCAATAGCAAGTAAAATTTTCATTAAGACTGACCCCATTTAAGATGACATGTGATTCCTCAAATTTTTACCAAAGTTTAACATCATTAATGCCCCTTGTACACAAGCTACCATGCCAATTTCACTTCTTAATCATCACTCTATCCTGAAAATTAAATAAAACAGGCATAATTCTAATACTTTCTCTTGTTACGTATATATATTAGCTGAGAAAGTACATGAATAAAGATATATATACAGTATTAATATATAATACTGTATATATTATAATATTAATATACAATATATAAGATATATATTGTATATTAATCACTCCATGTCTGGCTGCCTGGTGAATGATGTAACAGCTGAATAGAATAAAATTTGTAAGTCAGTATGTTGCAGAGCTAGATGTCTCGGAAATAGGATTTTTGTTTCATTTTCTTATTTTTACATATTATTACTAAAATAGTTGATAGTGTTTGTTTCTTTATTACATTTTTATTTAGTATAACTCTACTGAATTAAATTGCATGCTATTAAGTTAAAATATACAATTCAGAAAATATATTGAATATTTATTTTTTAAGGTGAGCCCTGAATTGTATTCCAGAAAAAGTTATTGGCATGCCTGTCAAGGGTTGTCCATTCCTGCTATAGAATAATAATTTGAATTTTTAAGCAAGCTAATCAATTTAATATTAGAAAAATTATCATCATTAACTTGAATGATATTTTTGTATTATATATTTTAACATATAGTTATCTATATTCATGGATACATCCATAACTATGTATTATCTTATATTTCAGGTATTTGCTGGTCAAAAAAAATTTTTTCTTGGATATGTCCAATTTGTAGATATGGAAAAAGAAAATATCAACAAATTATTATATATTCTTATACCTGTGATAGTTGTTTTAATAATAGTAACAGGTTTAATAGTTAAACTTATTCATAGAAAATTATCTCAGAAGGCTCTGCATTCAGATTTAATAGTATCATATACAAGTGAATCAGATTCTCGACAAGGTAGTTGCAGAAGACGACAAGAAGCAAATGGTAGGTTCAAAGCAGTTTTTTTTTGTGTATGTATTATTTCTGTGTATGAAGTTACTGAAGGAAATACCTTTCAGAGAAATTAATGAAAATTTTTTCCTGAGTAATTTAATTTTTCCTAGGATTTTGAGATTAATTATTTATCAATGAATAAATATTATTCAATATAACTATATTTTACATCTATCTTTTGAAGATCCTATTTGATCATATCTAAATTTTAAACTCATAAAAAAACAAACTCATAGAAAATATTCTTGGTGAATTAACCATATTATCAGAAATATTGGTCAAAATATACACACAAACCTATGCACATATGAACGTTATTGTATACAAACACATTATATACAGACTATGATTTATATATTTAATATATATAATCAAATGTTCGGTAATCTGAATCAGTAAACTTTGCATTTTTAAATTATTTTGTAACATTTCATTTTAATTAATAAAGTTATATAACAAGAATATACTGTATGTCATTGTTAGTAATCAAATATAGTTATGCTTTTAATCTGTTGTGAATGTGGTTTTGTCATTAAAACAATGAAAGAAATATGTAATTGAATAACAAATCAGTTATCATATAATTTTAAAAAATTATTTTTATATAAGAAACTAAAATAAATGTTTAAAAACAAGCATTTTCCGTAATAAATATTTATATTTATACTTTTCAATACTAGAAGTTTCTGTAATATTGCTATTATATTTAATGTAAATATTATATTGTTATACATAAATGAGAATGCAGTCACATTAATAATGAACAAGATTAAATAAAATATATTGATGAAATAGATTTGTAACAGCATTTATTATCGAAAAGATATAATTTTCAAAAACATTTTATTACAATTTTAATTTTAATCAAGATTGAAAATTTATTTTAAAAAATATTTTTGTATTTGTAATGAGTATCAGTATATATATTTGAACATTTATGATGATTATTTTTCATATCATTTTTTAAAAAGTTTCAGATTGTTATACAGCATCACAAAATTAATACAAAATTTATTTCAACATTTTATAGAATATTAAAATTAAAGACTTTAATGTGAAATATTGAATTACAATTATTTCAAAGACCTGGACATTAAATAATAATTATTAATAAATTGTTATTTAAAGTTCCAGCTTATTATTAATTGTAGTATGCATAATGTGAATTAACAAATGCAAATATTGTGTAATCAAAAATAATGTTTTTCGATTTTTTAAAGTTTAACCAATATAATAATTGCAAGACTAAATTTTTAACATATATTATTTGATAGACATTACTAATTATAAGTGTGTGTCTGCCATCATTTCACGTATCCATTAATAAGTTATTATAATTAGATAAGATTAATTTCTGTTTTAAAATTGTTAATTTCAATTTTAATTGAGAAATCTTAAATGATATTAATAAATTCCTATGATATTGAAAATAATAAATTGTAAGAAATATATTTTATAATTTTAAAATTTTTATTATATTTTTTTAGATTATCTAGATATGCGAGGAAGGAATCAATCATCATCAACTCCTGTCTCTCCAAACTCACCTTTAAGTTATCAAGTTGATGATGAAACTGTACGTTTATTACATGCAGAAAACATATTTGTCATAAGGGATTATTTGAGTTTGGGAAATGTTATTGGACAAGGTAATCATACTAAAAATTATATTTTTTAAATTAAAATAATTTATTTTTAAGAAATCAAATTTATATTCGAGAATTAAATATGTTTGAATACATCCAATTATGTTTAAACTCTTATTGTCTGACTTAAGCAGAAAATAAATTTGTCAATAATTGTTTTTTTGTCTTTTAAAGCTTTGAAATACAAATAAAAATATAGTTTTAAAACAGAGATAACAATTGTGATGAAATGTGCAAAATGAGTTACAAAGATACATTATGAGATTAATATCTTTATTTCATGTACAATAAATTGATTCTTTGGAATGCCAGCTCCTCTCAGTCCCAATACACAAATATATAACCTGAGCCATACAAATCTTGATATAACATGTCATTATAGACTCTACTATCGCGACNTGAAGAGGGGTTGGGAATATAAGCCAACCCGAAATGCATATGAATTAAGAATTTTTAAATAAAACGTACGTTTTCTAACCAATTGCTGTCCGTTCGTCTACCAACTCGTTTTGGATTACAAAGACGCTACACACTGCAAACGTCATCTTATTTCATGAGTACTGCGGCAGAGAATGAAATACAAGCATAAGAAACACAACAACTGTGATAAAAATATATAAATAAAATTTGAAATTAACAAAATACGTAAAAGTTCACGTCACACCTTTCACCATGTGACGGCACATCAGTGTACCGCGGCACACCGGTTGCGGAACACTGCTGTAGCCTATATCAGTAGTGCCCACAGACTATGAAAAAGGGGGAGCACAAGCTGTAAAAAAAAGGACATTGTACATTAGGCAAAGAGCTTCAAACTCTGATTCCACAACGGAATATTTATTTATAATACACTCGCAGCTAACTTGGCTTTGAAAACAAGGAATAAGGTTTTGGTTAACATATGACGTACTTGCATGGGATCAATGGACAAATATTGTTCATTAGTTTCTTTTAAATTTGCAGAATAGGCTAGAAGTCATGAATTATCTGTTGTTTGGGATCCCCTTAGCAATTAGGAAAAGGGCAACTGATGAAAAAGGGAGCACATACTTCAATATATGGGCGTTCCTGTTGTATATAGATAATTTTAAACATTACATTTTAATTATAGATAATTACCATAAGTTATTTCTAGTCATATTTGTATAACAAGTTCTTTAAAACTTCTTGTGGTGTAAATATTCAATCGAATATACAGATCTAAAGAATATCTCCAATTGCAGATCCAAAACTTTAGTCAAAAATCTATTTTTTCGAATTAAACTTTACTGGAATACAATTTAAGGCTTTTGATTGATTGAAGAGTTTAATATTCAATCAGTAAAAATAATAAATTTTTATATTAGATTTGTTATACATTTATTATTTCTATGTACTATACAGGAGTTTTTAAAAAATAAAAATTGTATTAGAATTACTAAATATTTATAATTTTTAAATTTTATTTATTTTTTTCCTTATTTAGTGTATCTGAAAATGAAATTAAATGTACATCAGGTCCATCGAATATAAAGTCTGAAAACTTAGTGAAAGTAATTATTGATGATGCAGAATTAGAACCATCACAGCTGAGTTTTTATGATGACAATAGGCAGCAATTTAATGGTCTGACATATAGATACACAGAAGATCCAATTATTATTGACATAAAACCACATGTTGCCACAATTAGGTAATATAAAAATATAATTTTTAATTATTAATTAATAAAGGACCAGTGCATAAGTTCTTTCTATTAATGTATATCATAAAAGAATATTTGAAATTATCTGATCCATAGATTGTCAATTAAGTGATGTTTTAGTTAAAAAATTTTATTTTTATAAATATAAATAAGAATTTATCTTAGTAAATATTTTACATTATTGTTTAAAAAATGTTTGTATTTTTAGTGGAGGGACCAATATAACAGTTGTAGGAAGAAATCTGCACAGTGTAGCTTATGCTAAGATGATAGTAAAAGCTGTTTTCACTGCTAGTGGTGAACAAATAAATTTTATTCAGGTAAAAACTGTTTAAAATGTATAAAAATACAATCAACTATGTGTAGTAGTAATTTTCTTGTATTGTTTATAACTTTATAACAAGTATTAATTATATTTTGTTTATGTTTTTTTTTTTAACTTTAGAATTGTTCTATAAATCGATCCACTGGGAAACAAATGACTTGTCCAGTACCTCCTTTAAAACATGAAAGATTACGTTTTCAAGCTGATACTATTGCTCCTGTAGTTACACATATGGCTTTTTTGATGGATGGTGTTACTCAATTAAGAGAGTTGCCTTTAAATANGAAATCAAATTTATATTCGAGAATTAAATATGTTTGAATACATCCAATTATGTTTAAACTCTTATTGTCTGACTTAAGCAGAAAATAAATTTGTCAATAATTGTTTTTTTGTCTTTTAAAGCTTTGAAATACAAATAAAAATATAGTTTTAAAACAGAGATAACAATTGTGATGAAATGTGCAAAATGAGTTACAAAGATACATTATGAGATTAATATCTTTATTTCATGTACAATAAATTGATTCTTTGGAATGCCAGCTCCTCTCAGTCCCAATACACAAATATATAACCTGAGCCATACAAATCTTGATATAACATGTCATTATAGACTCTACTATCGCGACACTACAAATTACTGAATACAATATATTTACAACAAATATACAACTAACTAAATCTAAGTAAGAAAGGGAGTAAGTAGACAAACAGGAATTAGAGTAAGGATAGAGGAAAGTGGGTGTCCAGTTTTCAATGATCTTGGGGTGGTGAATTTACAGAGCTTTTCTTCCTTGGGTCGATGGATTGTCCTTTTTCTCGTTAAATTTTCTTGAATGATGGTCTTGGTCCTCAGGGCGTCATTCCTTTCTTTTGATCTCAGGATTAGTCATCACCATCCAAGGAGAAAGAGTTAAAGAAAGAACATTCTGGAAAGGATAGACAAAGAAATGACTGAAGGAAATACCTTTCAGAGAAATTAATGAAAATTTTTTCCTGAGTAATTTAATTTTTCCTAGGATTTTGAGATTAATTATTTATCAATGAATAAATATTATTCAATATAACTATATTTTAGATGTAAAATGAATAAATATTATTCAATATAACTATATTTTACATCTATCTTTTGAAGATCCTATTTGATCATATCTAAATTTTAAACTCATAAAAAAACAAACTCATAGAAAATATTCTTGGTGAATTAACCATATTATCAGAAATATTGGTCAAAATATACACACAAACCTATGCACATATGAACGTTATTGTATACAAACACATTATATACAGACTATGATTTATATATTTAATATATATAATCAAATGTTCGGTAATCTGAATCAGTAAACTTTGCATTTTTAAATTATTTTGTAACATTTCATTTTAATTAATAAAGTTATATAACTGTAGATATTTAGAAAATAATTAGTAGATTAATATAAGTAGAATCTTCATAATTCAAGATACTAATTATAGAAACTATTTTATTGGGATACAGTTTTTTAAACATGTTAAATGGATTTTTGGAAGAGGTTCTAAGAATATGAACTAAATAGAAGGAAGGATGTATCCATATTTTTCAAACAAACAAGTTTTGCAAACAGATTTTTTTATATAAGATAAGGCTGAGGCACAGTTTCGATATTTAGTTTGATGTAAAGGGTAGAGAGTGAAGAAAAAAAGCATGAACTTTATGATGTATGCAGTTAAATTTGGTAGCATTGACCATAGCTAGTTTGACAATATTTAATTTGTATTTTAATAAATCTGATAAAGTTGTAAGATAAGTCTAGGTAATGTAAGGATTAAACATGGGAATGGCATTAAATTTGGCAATAAGCTCAAATTATAATCTAGACAGTTAATGAATAATCCCAAAAATTAAATTTTATGTTGTTCAAACTCACACTCAACAAGAGCCTAATATTAGTTTATATTCTTAAAGTTATCATGGGGTTTATAAATACTACACCACATTTAGAAGAGGTTTTGTTTTGCCTCAGTGAACATTAAATTTTTATAATAAAAAAACTTTTGCATTTTAGTTTTCATTCTCCCAATAAAGCATTTTTTGTAAAGAATTTTTTTAATATATATATTAT